GACAATGGCTATATTTTTCTTACTAATACCATGCATGATCAAATACCACACCACAATGTATTATTATTATTATTATTATCATTATTATTATTATTATTATTGGTAGTAGTAGTAGTAGTAGTAGTATGTATATATATATATATATATATATATATATATATATATATATATATATATATATATATATATATATATATATATATATATATATATATATCGACCGCACTGGCTATGGATACCGACTCAGAAACGGGGCCACCATCAGTCACCTCCTCTACATGGATGACATCAAGCTGTACGCTAAGAGTGAGCGAGACATCGACTCACTGATCCACACCACAAGGATCTACAGCACAGACATTGGGATGTCATTCGGGCTTGAGAAATGTAGCAGGATGGTGACAAAGAGAGGGAAGGTAGTCCACACAGAGGGGGTGTCACTCCCAGAGGGAACAATAGCAGACCTTGAGGACAGTTACAAGTACCTTGGTGTATCCCACAAGCAAGTGGCAACCTCGAAGAGGCAACAAGGAAAGCGGCTACGGCCAAATACCTGCAAAGAGTGAGGCAAGTCCTTAGAAGCCAGCTCAATGGCAAGAACAAGGTGCAGGCAATCAACAGCTACGCCCTGCCAGTGATCAGATACCCTGCAGGGATTGTAAGCTGGCCAAAGGAGGAGATACAGACCACAGATGTTAAGACACGAAAGCTCCTGACCATGCATGGAGGGTTCCATCCCAAATCCAGCACCCTGAGACTGTACGCAGGCCGGAAGGAAGGGGGCCGAGGACTAGTGAGTGTGGGAACCACTGTCCAGGATGAAACATCCAAGCTCCTTGAGTACATCAAGGACAAGGCCCCGGCAGATGAGGTGCTCAGAGAATGTCTCAGACAGTGGGGCCCAGAGGAAGAGGTGCTGGAGGGACCATCATGGCAGGACAAACCCCTACATGGGGCGTACCACCGGAACATAACTGAAGTGGCTGATATCAAGAAATCCTACCAATGGCTTGAGAAGGCTGGTCTGAAGGACAGCACAGAGGCACTGATCCTGGCTCCTCAGGAGCAGGCCCTGGGCACTCGAGCAATAGAGGCCCAGATCTACCACACCAGACAAGACCCACGGTGTAGACTGTGCAAAGAGGCTCCTGAGACAGTCCAGCACATAACTGCAGGGTGTAAGATGCTGGCAGGGAAAGCATACATGGAGCGACATAACCAAGTGGCGGGCATAGTGTACAGAAACATCTGTGCAGAGTACGGGCTGGAAACCCCAGGATCAAGGTGGGAAACACCTCCAAAGGTTGTGGAGAATGACCGAGCCAAGATCCTGTGGGACTTCCAGATACAGACTGACAGAATGGTGATGGCGAACCAACCAGACATAGTGGTGGTGGATAAGAAACAGAGCAGAGCCGTGGAGGTGGACATTGCAATACCAAGCAATGGTAATATCAGGAAAAAGGAACACGAGAAGCTAGAGAAATACCAGGGGCTCAAGGAAGAGCTGGAGAGAGCCTGGAAAGTAAAGGCATCAGTGGTGCCTGTGGTGATCGGAGCACTCGGGACTGTAACCCCCAAACTGGAAGAGTGGCTTCAACAGATACCGGGAAAAACAATGGACATCTCAGTCCAGAAAAGTGCAGTACTGGGAACAGCAAAGATACTGCGCAGAACTCTCAAGCTCCCAGGCCTCTGGTAGAGGACCCGAGCTGAATGAGGGTGAGAGAGACCTACCACCGTGGAAGGTGAGAAACACATTTATATAAAAAAAAAAAAAAAAAAAAAAATGTCAGGAGCTTTCGTGTCTTAACATCTGTGGTCTGTATCTCCTCCTTTGGCCAGCTTACAATCCCTGCAGGGTATCTGATCACTGGCAGGGCGTAGCTGTTGATTGCCTGCACCTTGTTCTTGCCATTGAGCTGGCTTCTAAGGACTTGCCTCACTCTTTGCAGGTATTTGGCCGTAGCCGCTTTCCTTGTTGCCTCTTCAAGGTTGTCATTTGCTTGTGGGATACCAAGGTACTTGTAACTGTCCTCAACGTCTGCTATTGTTCCCTCTGGGAGTGACACCCCCTCTGTGTGGACTACCTTCCCTCTCTTTGTCACCATCCTGCTACATTTCTCAAGCCCGAATGACATCCCAATGTCTGTGCTGTAGATCCTTGTGGTGTGGATCAGTGAGTCGATGTCTCGCTCACTCTTAGCGTACAGCTTGATGTCATCCATGTAGAGGAGGTGACTGATGGTGGCCCCGTTTCTGAGTCGGTATCCATAGCCAGTGCGGTCGATTATTTGGCTGAGAGGGTTCAGGCCTATGCAGAACAGTAGTGGGGACAGTGAGTCTCCTTGGTATATGCCACATTTGATGGACACATGTGCAAGTGGCTTCCCCTTGGCTTCAAGGGTGGTTTTCCACAACCGCATCGAGTTCGCAATGAACGCCCTTAGAGTCCTGTTGATATTGTACAGCTTCAAGCACTCAGTGATCCATGTGTGTGGCATTGAGTCATAGGCTTTCTTGTAATCAATCCAGGCAGTGCACAGGTTGGTCTTACGGGTTTCTGCAGTCGCGGGCGACTGTTCGGTCAACCAGGAGTTGGTGTTTGGCTCCCCTGGTGTTTTTGCCGATACCCTTCTGTGCTGCACTCATGAATTGATTCATGTGCCCACTTATCTTAGCCGCAATGATGCCTGACATGAGCTTCCATGTTGTGGAGAGACAGGTTATTGGCCGATAGTTGGATGGGACTGCACCCTTTGAGGGATCCTTTAGGATCAGGATCGTACGCCCTTGGGTTAACCATTCAGGGTGAGTCCCATCCCTTAGCAGCTGGTTCATTTGTGCTGCCAGGCGCTCGTGGAGGGCAGTGAGCTTCTTTAGCCAGTACGCATGGATCATGTCAGGGCCCGGTGCGGTCCAGTTTTTCATACCTGAGACTCTTCCCTGGATGTCTGCCACTGTGATGGTGACTGGATTCTGTTCAGGGAGGTTGCTGTGGTCTTCTCTCAGATCCACCAGCCACTGTGCATCGGTGTTATGTGATGCCTCCCTTTCCCATATGCCTTTCCAGTACCTCTCAGTCTCCAGCCTTGGTGGGTCTGCTCTGGTGTTATTACCCTGCCACTGAGCGTACACTTTCGCCGGTTGTGTTGCGAACAGCAACATATATATATATATATATATATATATATATATAATATATATATATATATATATATATATATATATATATATATATATATATATATATATACACTTTTTTTTTTTTTTACTGTATATCACCAAATGGAAAAGTATACTATAATGAACTTCTTTATTGTATATACTCTAATGTATAGAACTGGACTGTACATAAACTACTTATGCTCCGTTCTTCGTGACTCGTGACTCGTGCAACACTCTTTCATGACGTTTCACCGTTCAAAACATAATATTTTGTTAAATATATGTTTTATAATATTTTGTTCTGTAATTTGAATTGTTATGGCCTGGGTCCTATTTGTTTATTTGTTGAATAAACTGTCAACAATGCTCCCTCATCAACAGCATTTAAAACAAATACATACACGCCATACAAGTAATAAATGCACAATTTAGGTTTTTAATTAATTACATTTTACAAAATGATATATTTACTCAACCAATAAAACGTGGCATTTTGATCATGTGAATTAAGCCTTGTATTTTACAGAGCAGTAGCATTTGAGAGCATTTCCCAGCAGAGTGTTTGAAATATTCAAGAAAGATACAGAGAGGTATTGAATTTAAACTGACTGGCTACATAAGAACAACCTGTCAGCCCTCCAATTACGAAAGGTCCTGCTGTTCCCTTGTGCCTGTGTTCCCCGAATAACATTCGTACTTCCAATTGCAAGGGTACCGATGTTCCTCATTAATACCAAGTTATCATCATTATCTCATAAAATAGCAGCATGTAGCCTATAACTTTGTACAGACGTAACCAGAGCAGAAGCACTCATTTCTACAAACAGCAGCAGCCAACAGCGGCACTTAACACCACTCCTCACTCCTGCTCATCTCCCCGCTGGTTCAGGAGTCTGGTTTTGCATCTTGTCTGACTGTAGCATTTCTCACACTAGGCTAAATGAAGGGCATCACCTACCTATGTATGTGAAGCATCTTTTTCTGTCATGAACAACATGAGGATAGAAACAGACTGACATATGTTCACCTTGGACCGTTTTTTAGGACCACACATTACAAACCAGATTTAAGAAATAGCTTCTTCACATTGGTGCCACTTCTTTCATTAAAGAGATATGTTTTTCATTGGTTATGTTTAAAATGCATTTCTGCTGAGGCATTGTGTTAACTTGCTTTATACAATTTGAGATTTTCCAACAAATGCAGTAGTATTTGAAAAAGAAACACTGTATGGTTTTAGTAGTTGTTGTGGAATTTGTAAATGTTGATTTTACTGTTATATTTTGGCAAATAAAAAATTGTCTTCTGGCAGATTTTCTGTGGACCTCAGTTTTGAAATGTGGACATGTTTTGGCCCTCAGGGAAATTTAATTGAAGACCTCTGTTGTATAGCTATTAGATCAGTTTTGTTTACTTTGTAGTAGATAAAGCAGTGCACCTTCATAAATCCTTCCTCTACAGAATTGCCAAAAGATATCTCATTTTCGGTTTGGGCGACTTGAGGTGAAAAGGGATTGTGGTTGTTCTCATATCAAAAGTGCGGATTATTAAATCGACTAATACTGTGCAGATTGAAACCTAATTTGCATGATAAAGTACTACAATGTATATATATTTTTTTATGTTAGGATAGAACCGTATACCACCAAATAAAAGAGTATACTATGCTGAACTTTACTTTACTTTACTTCCCAACCCTGTTCAGATATATAGAACTGGACTCAGAGTATACTCATGCCAGGTACTAAACTTCAGTGAAAAAAGTAGGCCCAAAGATTAAAGTATTTTATCCCACTGATGCTCACTCGTCCCCTCTTTATTGATTTGTGCAGATGGATTTCAGATGAGTGGGAGCACTGTACCAAAACGTGTGGTAGCCTGGGCTTTCAGATTCGGACAGTGCGCTGTGTACAGTACCTCCATGATGGCACCAACCGTTCCATCCACACCAAATACTGCAGCGGAGAGAAGCCCGAGAGCCGCCGAGCCTGTAACCGTAGCCCCTGCCCTTCCCAGTGGAGGACAGGGCCCTGGTCTGAGGTCAGTGCACATGACAGTCTCTCTAAGAGAGGCAAAGACGGGTAACAACATAAACTTTCACACTTTTGTCAATGTCACATTTTTAACTAACTCCATATCCAAGGATGGTACACCATTTCCAAAATACCAGACAGCATCTTATTAATTTAATTTAAGTTTTTCATAAAATTTAGAAGAATGTAATACACCATTATTATTCAGTCATCACCATTGTTTTTCACTGTACAATAGTTTGTCACATGTAGAGGCATGTGATAAGAATATGGAAAATACTGTAATAATTGCATATGTTAAGCAGCTAATTTTATTGTTACAAGCTTCAAGGCTGCAGCTTGTTCAATCTTTGTGAATGAAAAACAAGAAAAAATGCAAAATGTTTAATCTATTCATCTCACAGAGGAGTACTAACACACAATGCTTATTTATTGCCCTGAACAAGGTTACATAAATGTTATATTTGCTGCAGGACAAACTTTTTAATCCACTTAAACAAATCTACCTGCAGTGCAGTAATACTATGAAGTAACCGTTGGATTTCCTACAATTAATCTAATAAAATAGCCATTAGCTATACTTACTCTGAGTATGAACATGATAATTAATTATACTGGATAAACATTAGATTTATTAGTTTACTTGCTTAATTCATCCTCTACGGCCCAACTGGTTTATCACACCACAAATGTACGGCAGCAAATCTACCATGAGCAAGCCACACTTTATTAAATACTTAAAGGCCAGAAGCAGTTCCACTGTGTAACATCAATAATAGTTGCTTTTCTTCATTGCTTTTCTTCATGAGTTTGATTTATTTGATATGGATTTTAAAATGTCCTTCTTGACATAATCCTGTTTATGTTAGATAGCTCAAAGAGTACATTGACTTGGTATGCGCAAAATTGTATCAATGGTTGTGAATCTCCATGGTAAATACATGAATATTGGAAAACAATATTCAGTACTCTGTTACGTGGTAGTAATAAATAAAAAATAGCTGAATTAATTAAAAACAAAAAACGTGTAATGAATTTGAATGATTCATGTTTTTTAATTTGTTTAACAAAACAATATGTTAATTTATTGATGCATGGTTGAACCCATTTTAATTTTAAATGACTATAAAATTGTGGTTTTCTTACTGATTTCAATCAGCCCTACAGCCTCCATCTTACTTAAGAAAGATCTGGCAACCTTTAAACAATCCAATAAATCTGACATCCAGCTGTGAGCCAGGGCCAATACATCATCTAATTGGATGTTGGTTTGTATGTTAAAATGTGATTTGTTTAGCAATTTGTGTGAACACATTCCTGTTAGAAGCTTAGACATAGCTCCTCTTTAATCCTATAGTGTCTCCCTTTATTTTCAGGATTTTGACGTTGTAATCCATCTGCACTGTGATGGTAGATTTTTACATTGGATGCCTTCTCTCTCTCAGTCAACCGGTTCTATGCACTACATATAGACATTGTGAATGACGTGACATGCACTGAAGCAAAGTTTGAAACACTGACCCTCTGGTTGGTGGGCACATTTTCATGTTACTAATTCTTATACTGTAGGGTTTTCAAAAAATTGTTAAACTCACTGTTGTAATATTTTGACATCGTGATATTAAAAAAACTATGATTTATATGATTTGTCACATACTATAATTATCATTGTGGGATCTAAATCAGTATCTAGTATCAAGCAATTTTGTTGGTATCAAAATCTAATTTGAAATGTTATTTTGTATATAATAATAATAATAATAATAATAACAATAATTGATATTATTATTATTAGTAGTAGTAGTAGTAGTAGTAGTAGTAATATTGTTATTGTTATTGTTAGTATTAGTATTAGTATTAGTATTAGTATTAGTATTAGTATTAGTATTAGTATTAGTATTAGTATCTGGGGACTTTGGTTTAAACAATCACTGCCAACAAAGGACTAATGTAACATGTATTTTAATAGTGGTGGCATTGAAACACGCAGGTATGACTTTTAGCCACAAGATTAATACGCCTGCGTATACACTTGTCCTGCTTTTATCCAGGTGTAGTCACAGTCTAGGCTAACTTTATTTTGGGGTTTTGTCCCAGTTTGAATATAATTGTGTTGACTATGTTTTAGTGAAATATGTTGTCTGACCTGCACTTCAGAGTTTATTCACTGTGTGTTCATGTGTAGTGCTCTGTGACATGTGGGGAGGGCTGGGAGCGACGCCTGGTCACCTGTCGAATCGGAGACCAGTGTTCAGGAGACAAACCAGAGACTGTGCGGCAGTGCAGACCTAGGCCCTGTCATGGTGAGCTCCACACACGTGTAATGTCACTATCGCATCACAAACTGGAAAAAGTTAGACCAGATTTTCACATTCTTGAATTAAACACGACCTAATGGCAATGAAAAAATGAAAAAACTAAGACAGGTATTAGGATCAGAGTGTTTGTCCACTGATCTGAAGGTTGATGGTTCAAATCCCACTCTTGATATAAACACCTCTGGTTGTACAGTTAGGTCCACTGACCCACAGGTTGGCAGTGTGATTCTAGTTCTTACAGGTTGTGTCCTTGGGCTAGACATTTAACCCTCCTTGCCCCCAGTGTCTGAGTACACTGGTGAATTAATGGGTGTTTGCTTGATGTAAAACTCTCTGAGTGGCATGAAGGTGGAAAAGCGCTATATAAAAGTGTGACCATTTGCCATTGCCAAAAATTAATCGTTATCCGCGAAATTTGTAATATATATTTTTTTCATTTATACAGCAACTCTGCAGAGGTGACATGAGCCACGGTGATTTAAAAAAGTAAATAAACAAGAGCTGTGAGTGATGACTATAGGACTGATGAATGCATCAAACACACTGTCATGTCCAAATTTTTAAAATCAATTCCACCTTGTAGTTTACGTCTTAAAAATATATATTTATAATACATAAATAAAATGCCTTTAATTGAAGTGTGTTGACATTATCCCTTTAAACATTATCGTTTTAAATGATAATTTATGTGTTTTATGGCAATTATTAAACATTTTTCTCATACAAAACATACTAAAAATATACATAACATAAACATGTCAAGAAACACAAACACATTTCACACAGTGTACATAGTGAGGTTGGTTGCGGAACAAAGTTACTTCTTGATATTTTACTGCATGACTTTTATGTACATATTTGACTTTCAGATGAACCCTGTAATGGAGACAAATCCATCTTTTGCCAAATGGAGGTCTTAGCACGCTACTGCTCTATTCCTGGCTACAACAAACTGTGCTGTGAGTCATGCAGGCTGCGCAGCGGAGCAGTTTCTTTGTTCTCCGAAGCAACAGAGACTGATGAGCATTTACGCTTCGGATCGGCCTCCCAACTCCTGGATACCCTCACAGCTGCAGCCGCTAACAGCACTCGCGGTGGTAAGCAAGGACCTAACAGAACATCAGCCACAGCCAGCAGAGTACCAAGCACATCAACCAGCGCGACCAAACCCCGAACAACCTCTGCCCCGCTCAAGAGGGGCACATCAAAAAGCACCACTGCTCCGAGGAGGCTTCCACGGCAGCTACGCCCCACCGCAGCCCCCCCTCATGGACAACCAGCTTCCCGCCAAAGCTCCAGTGGCTCCAGTCGATGGCCCACGGCTTATTCTCAAGTGAAGAGATGAAAGTGGAACCCAACCCTAGAGGACTTTGATGTACACTAGAAAATCCAGCTTCATCCCCAGTCTTCTAACGCCACATGTCACACAGCAGACAAATACAGAGAAAGAGAAAAGTGCTGGTTCACTTTGTTTAGCCCCTGACATTTGACTGTTATGTCTCCACTCCTGAGCATTTGAACTGAAACAAACATATTTATTCACTTACTGGTTTAGAGTACAAAGCAGGTAGGGGCACAAGGTCCAAGGGGAATTTTCCTTTATGTCAGATGAAAGAATTGCACATCTTTCCTCAGCTCATGAGTTTTATAGGTTGCGTTCACATTCTAGATATTGATTATGTCATAAATTCAGATGGGGGGCATAGGTCTATAAAACTCAAACAATTCACCTAAACATTAACCTTACGTTAACATGAATCTTATCATTATTTGTAAGAGATTGACACCACAAACAAAAAGTCTGTGGAGCCAATCTCTTACAAATAATAAACAAAGCTGAGCTTTTTTCAGCTCAGAGTTTCATCTTTGGTGTTGATTAATGGCATCATTTCCTGAACCTTTGTGAGATCAAAGTATTTATTTGTAGTTTTTTTTTAAACTGATGCAAGATTATGTTTTTATGTCAGTTTTGATTTCATGTGGATTGGCCCATTAATTACAGCAATATTAAATACAAATCAGCAGCAAATCTGCAAACTGACAGTTAAACAGCAAATAAAGTCTACAATAAATTTCTGACTTGTTCTCCAGCTAGGTTTTAAAGTACAGATTAGAATGTTTGGATGTGAACACAACCTACAGAGCTCGGGATCTCTAAAAGCTAAACTTACCATTTGCCTAGCAATAGGGAAAAACAGTGAAGTTAAAGGTTAGCTAAAGAGCCATGGACAAACCTGATGAGCTGCTGGATCATTACTGGTAAAATGTATGACTGAGTGAGAATATGTGGACATGTATGCAAAACATAAAATGATAATGTATATAGAATTTAGACAAGGAAGATAACTCAGACCATCTGACACATTTGAAACTCTCTTTACTGTTCAAAACTGTACAGAGCTGTGTCTATCAGCAATTACTGTGTGTACTGCAAGTATTTGTACAATTTTCCAAGTGCAACAAGCCATTCACAATATAAATGTTACCAAAGAATATTTACTCCACTCTTACCCAACAGATTACCGTAATAACCCATTAAAAATAGAATGCTATTGGAAATAAATTAGATACATTTATTCTGTAATGACAGGTTTTACTTCTGCTTTACTTACTTACTTACTGCTCCCTTGAGTTGTACGTTTAAATTTGAAGCATTTAGTTGGATGAAAACTATTTAATATTTATGTGCAAATGGAACTGAAAAGGGACTACATATATGGGTCTGGTTTTGTACTTTTAACCCTCTCCAGGAAGGCGTTGTAGATTTGCAACAGCTAAATTCCAATTACCTACTTACTCCACATCCATATTTTATGAGCTTTTTTTACTCAGGAGCCTTTTCTCCCATCCATGCTGATAAACGTGGACGATGCAGACTGGCTCCACGCAAACGGCCTGCCAGAAGTGCAAAATACTTGTTTTGTTCACAAAGGATAAAAAAGTCAGGATTGTATATTACTACCCCATATTGTAATTTTCCCCAAATATCAGATTTTTCCTGATACTAAAAATTTATTTGAGCCTGAGAGGGTTAAAGAATATTCTGGTGTAAAACTAGATGATCTAGATGATAGCGCAAGATTCTCCAGATTTTATGATGATGATGATGATGATTATTATTATTATTATTATTATTATTATTATTATTATTTTACAGTAGGCTACAATTTCTTTTCAGTGGCCTAAAAACAAATATCTTTGTATTCAACAAAAGTGAAATACAGCTTCATCAGATCATCACCAAAGGCGGTTTTGTGCAACACACAAAGTATGGAATTTGGCTTTGGCGCAGATAGAATCAATATTCACTCAAATGAAGCTTTACATTAGCCCCTTTCAGTCTCCCTCTAATTTGATTTCATATGTACCTCTACAACACCATACTGAAAGCACCAAAGCTGGACTTCTATGTAGAAAGTGTTTTTTCCCAAACTATTTTGAAATTGCGTTTTTAAAGGTGAGGGATTTTGGAGAGTAAACATTATTTATTTTAAAAGGATATTCTCTCAACCACCATGCATCTGACTGCAATAGAAAAAAACATTTTTTTGTAGTTCAAAAAACTCACACTCCAGTGTGCCAGTGTATAGTTCCTGTATATAGCATTGAGTGCATATATTTATTGAAAGTAAGGCTATGCTTTGTTCTTCCGTGTGTTCAGTACCAGTTGGACAATAAGCTGTTAACCAGGAGTAAAGTTCTGTTTAATCATAATTCAAATGGTCTTCTGCTTTCATAGAAATAACATTGTTTTAGCAAACAATTAGATGTAAATATACAAGCTCAATTTTGAGATGTTTAACTTTTTGTAAGAAAGCTGTTTTTTTACAGCTGTTTTGTAGTTGACTGGTTACTTACATGACCAAACCAATGTCTTATTGTAACCAATAAATCAGAATAGTATTACCAGTGAGTCCATAACATTGTTTTTATGGTGTCCGTAGTTGTCAGTATTATTTCCTCCTTCATCTCCTCACTGCCTAAACAACACTGCTGCTAATGCTACGCAGAGATAGTTAGGAGACATAGGTTAGCTATAGATCAATGACAATCCCTGAGCCTCAGACAGACTTGCTGCGTGGCCAACCTTGTACTGTATCACCCCTGTGCTGCTGCCTGTGTATTGCGACAGCAGATGCTCTCATGCTTTCCTTTGTTTTTGTCTAGATCCAAGTGTACACTACTGATGCTGTTTGTTGTTATGGGGAGCACATAGTAATAAATTACATAATTAAATATACCATTGCCTCTTTTTTTTATGTTATAGCTGGAAGTAAAAGACTTTGTATTCTAGTCAGCACAACCTGTCGTCAGTATATGTGAACTCTAGCCTGGCAAGATATTAAATAATACATTAGATGCCAACTTCTTTGATTTATCCTACCATTATATGGAGATGGTTAATATATGATTGACTATGCTGTTGCATTAACCTTATGATGTTTAATGGGGACAGAGACACTTCCAGGAATATAGCTCCTTTCAAAAGGCAGAATCAGAATTGACTTTATGGGGGTATAAACCACTGCAGACACAACAATTAAACACATACAAATAAAAGAGACACTAAATAAGGCAACTTAGTCTCTATTACATACATCTATTTATTGCTCTGCTTTGATTTTAATAATTGCTAATGCGCTATATATAAATGGACAGACAATAATCAATTAAATATTGAATAAGTAAATCACTAAAACCCAATAAAACAGTTTGGTTGTCAAAATAAACACAAAAACTGGCTATCAGGTCCAAAGTTGTGCTAGACAGTTGTGTAGCACAGGATTATTATTTATTTCCCTTGGGCATTAGCAGCACAGCATACAGCAGTGCATTTGCCAGCAGTGTGATAACATTCAGAAGCTCTATGTTGATGTTAAAAGATACCTATGTCCAGAAGAACCGCCTACCCTGATGCTTCTTGTGGAGAAGATTGATGTTTTCAGTCCAGTCTTGTTTGCTGTCATATAAGAGTCCTAAGTACTTATGGGGCCACTGTGGCACTATTTGTGCAGAAAGGTTGAGGGAGGGTCTTCATGTTGAAATCTAGGACCACCAGTCAACAAATACTGCACCAACTGTCTGTACTCCCCCTTCCCACCCTCTCTCAATGCATTCAAAACAACCAAATGCAATATTTGCCCTTAAACCTGTTAGATCACTCAGAGTACATGCAGCATAAAAGCATAAAATAAGTGTGTACAGATGGCTAAGAGACATTTAGGTGTGTTCACTAATTTTGTATTGGCCCTAAAATACTGCAACTACATAAACCAATAAAAACAAGTATTATAACTGTAACCAAACTCTTGGCAGAAATAGATAAGTGACATCTCATTTAAGTTGAGCATTTGACCTTCAGAAATGCCAAGAACTGCATTACTCACATGTTTTTGCTCTATGCAGCACAAATACAAACATTGAAGTACATACACATTTGTACAATTATGCCATATTTGAATCCGTGTATCATTCGTTCATTCGTTTTTCAATATAAAACCAAAAATAAGAAAACGAAAAAACAACAGTTTTCTTCGTTATTTGTCTCCAAAACCAAAATGAAAAAACGGATAACGATTCGTTTTTTCAGTTTTCGATTTTGTGTTTAAATGAAGAATGGAAAAAACGGATAACGGCCGTTTCCCGTTTACATGACTTCCGTGACTGCGATGCCGAACTTTTGCACCGCATACGGACTGAATCAGAACTGATCCAGGTCCGAGACCAGACCGGGACCAGACCGGGACCAGGGTGGACTCCGAGCTTTGACTCCGAGCCTCCACGGGGTCCGAGCCTCAGCTTCGAGCTCCGGTCCTGCCGTGGGCTCTGAGCCTCCGGTCTGGTCCCGGTCTGGTCCCGGTCTGGTCCTGGTCTTGTCTCGGTCTCGGTCTCAGGCCCGCTCTAGTCCCGCTCTGGTCCCAGTCTCACCGCATACGGACTGAATCAGGACGGATCCAGGTCCGAGACCAGACCGAGACCAGAGCAGGACTGAGACCGGGACAGAGCTGCTCTGGTCCTCCGCGCTCAAGAACCGCGGCTGGTTCCGAGGTGGAGCAAAGCCTCCGACTGACGCATTCACACCAATGAAAATGAATCGAACAAAGAGCTTTTGGTTCAAATGGACCAGGTCCGGGACCAGACCGGAGGCTCAGAGCCCACGGCAGGACTGGAGCTCGAAGCTGAGGCTCGGACCCCGTGGAGGCTCGGAGTCAAAGCTCGGAGTCCGCTCTGGTCCCGGTCTCAGTCCCGCTCTGGTCTCGGACCTGGATCAGTCCTGATTCAGTCCGTATGCGGTGCAAAAGTTCGGTATCGCAGTCACGGAAGTCATGTAAACGGGAAACGGCCGTTATCCGTTTTTTCCATTCTTCATTTAAACACAAAATCGAAAACTGAAAAAACGAATCGTTATCCGTTTTTTCATTTTGGTTTTGGAGACAAATAACGAAGAAAACTGTTGTTTTTTCGTTTTGTTATTTTTGGTTTTATATTGAAAAACGAATGAACGAATGATACACGGATTTATTTGACACCAGTCTCTTGCTGTTTTTGCTTCTTATTTTGTATTAATTATTAACATTTAAAATTGTTGCTCTTTGTTATTATATTGTGATGAGTGAGCTCCTGTATCTAAGTCATTTCCTTTGTGGATCAGTAAAGTTTGTCTAAGTCTAACATAGCGGGCCAAAACAATGAAATAACACATACTTGTTGTATGCTAGTTATCAGTAGTTTGCCATAGCAGATGACCTGAAACAACTAACGACTAAATCCCCAAACACTAATATTTGACCGTTTCTTCAATCATGCAGTTGAGTGCCTCTCCTAGTCTGCTTCCATATGTAATAGGACTGTGCTGTTACATACCACGAGCATTCAAGTGCCTACCGTTTTCTCCAGATGTGCTATTGGGATCAGGGACAATAGAACCACTACAGCTCAATCACACTTCCCAGGTTTACATGCATTTTGTTAAATCGGTTTAAATTTGAGGCATGTATGAGGGATGCATAGTGTAAACAGAACAGGAGAAAGCACTGTGCCCTGTGATCCCCCTCTGCAACCAGGATAAAGGAGATACTGCAACAGAGATTAAATAATATGGAATGCACATGCACATATATTAAAGAAATGCATCGTCATTCAAATTCCACCTTCATCCAGGTAAGAGAGGGTGCAATAGTGAAGTTACCTCCGTCAACCCCACTCTGTTATAGTACTACTGAAACTTACTATCACCACAAATTAATGATTAAAAAAACATGCTTTCTTGTCTTGTCATCTGTTTTGATTCTGGATCACTGATTTTCAACCTGTGTGCTGGGTCACACTAGTGCCTTAAAAAACATTCCAATTTAAGTAAATAGATTCACAAATGTATTTAATTTAATATTATAGTTTGGTAAAACTTCTGATCCAAAAAATGAGAGCAAAAAAGCCACTGCTGCCAGTCAGACACAGTGGCATGAACAATGTTTGTCACATTTGGTCATATTTTAGTGGTGTGCTGTGGAACCTTTTCAACTCAGTTGTGTGGTGTGATAAACACTGTTCTAGATAATTCATTTAAGAATCAGCACCAACAATTTTCAATTAAACTACCAATGTAAAGCCAAGTATCTAAGTACCCATACCAAAACACAGTGATAGTCATAACCATAATTGAACACTCAACTGAATTATACTGTACGGCATGAGGTGACTGCAGTAAATGCAGTAATTGTGCATAACAATTATAGGAGACCTTGGACCTTATGTGAAGATCTCTGTCGTAATATTGCTTGTACATAGTCAAATGACATCAAAGTCAATGCAAAGCTATTGGCTATTTAAGGTGTTGATATTATACAGTACATTTATTTATGTGCAGCATCCTGTCAAGCAACTCCTGGTAACACTGTATTCTTTTCAAGCTATGTGTGTAATCATAGACATAAGTCTGTAGAAGACACCAGGCCATGGGGTTGTTGTCATGCACATTTTCTTGCTCACTTGTTTAACTCTGTAGACTGTTCTTTTCTCAGTGCTACATCTGAGTAGCTTCACCATTTGCAGCTTTAATCACTTTGCTCTCATGACTCTATTAATTTACAATCAGCTATGCTTTGTGTGGCACTAATTAACATCGACTGTCATACACAGGAAATTTGCATCATTTTCAGCATTATCAGCAATCTTAATCTGCATATTATGGCTCATTATTGGTAAGTAGCACAAACACCTAACCTATTTGCTATATGTGCAACAGGAGAGTAAAGGGCCTCTGCCAGACTTCTATTCAATAAAACGCTCTTAAAGTGAATGAATTATGAATATCAGAGTGAGTTTTCTGTATTTATACAGATGTGTACAGATATGTTTATCTGATCATCATGGAGAAACGGTACAATGTATGAATCCTGTGAAACTCTATGCTGATTGAGAACCAAGAGGAAACGACTGTCTGACTATCCCATACTTTTTGCCTGTCATTGTGCAATATCAGAACAAGAGAAGGGTATGAGAGGAGCTAACACAAATTGAAAGCATGGTCCAGAGTCAAGTACCGGTCTTTTTTATAGACATTCTGTAGAAACCAAAGCTATTGTCACAAACAAAAAATGAATTCATAAGAACAAATACATTTTCTAAGAATGATTCAAGCTACTTAATTAATACACCACCTCAGTGATGTAGGCTGAATCATTTATCTATTTACTCATTATGACTGAAATATTTATCTGTAATTAGCCTTTAATGAAACATGAACAAAGATTATATTATAGAATAGTACACATATGAGGTTGAACACAAATTTGTATGCACTGCAGACTGTGCACACTAAAATCAATATACAGCACCACATTATCCAATAATTTATACGTTCAAAAGCTTCTGAATCTTCAAAGCTCAAAGTTAAACATGACTTGACCTGATGTGAATCTATACTGTATGGTTTTATTGAGAGTATGGATTCAAATGATTGGAAAAGGTGCCTATTTTAGCAGTTAAAATTTCATCAAATACAGTAGCTTCCAAGATAAAGAGATATAAAAGGAGCTATGGCGGACAACACAAATCTAAAAAAGGATTACCTTGGTTTGCTATTTCAACCTTATAATATGGCTTTGCAGTAGCATGTATTCTTCAAACTGAAAATATAGCATTTTGCACACTTTAGTTGCAGCCTGATGGATTTTCTACTTTAACTGAGACTGATAGGATTATAATGGCAGTGTATTTCATTCAATATACCGTGG